TTTTTTGGTTGTAGTTGTCATTGTTGTTTGGCAGGCCTGGGCTGGGTTTGAACCTGCCAGCTCTGGTGTATATGTCTGTGCCATCTCTGGTGTATGTGGCTGGTGCCTTAGCCACATGGGCTACAGGCTCTGAGCCTGATACAGTGGAATAATTAATGCGAGGCCCTTGACCCATTGTAGAGTCTGCATAAACTTCAGCCTGATGCTCCCCACATTTTTAGCCCCTCTTTAGGGATTTCCTCACCAAGAAGCTGAGCAATGCCCATCCCTACTCCTGCCTCCTAATTCCCGAGACCTGCTTTTATCTTTCCTTTCGCCAGCATCTCTTGATGGCCTGGGTCAGGATGGGAGAGAGGCAAATCCCTCAAAGCCCATTCAGCCCCCACCAGCCCAGCTGTGAAAGTTCAAGAACCCCCCCTGGCTTGTACTTCCCCCCCAGAAGCATTACAATTGGCTTGCCCCTTTCTGGTTGTCTGGGCCAGGAAGCTGAGGAAGAACAGCCCTGGAGGGCAGCTGGACTGATGCTTCTGGAACTGTGTCTAAAACTGCAGGGCAGCTGAAGGGGCCTGAAGAACCCAGCTTCTGCCCCTTCTGTGCCAGCCCGTGACTTCTCCAACCAAAAGTCACTCAGAGTAGGAAGAGTGCCACCAAGCTCTGCCCCCACTTACATCAAGCCCATGGATGCCCCAGCTCCTGTTGAAACTTCCACATGCAGGTTTACTTTTGCCCTTCCTGTGCCCATTCTGAACACTCTGTGCCATCTCTGTGACTTTTGCAATTCCAAGGGTCACAAATTGGCTGCTTGCTGGTCACTAGGCAGCTCTCTGAGGCCATGCTTGGTCAGGGTGGAAGGGGTAGACAGCCACTGGCATCATGGCAGGGTACGGATGGAGAGCACCTGGGCTCAGCTGTGTAGTCCTTCCATGAGTCACCTCTCAAGAGAGACTCAGAGGAATAAATGATGTGCCAATTTCAGCCAGTGAGTAGAGGGATCAGCCTGTGAATCTCCCAGACCTGCCTGCCTCTGCCCCCACCCCTCTCGTTCTCTACCAAGGCAGCTTCAGTTTTCACCCTCACTTCTACCACCCAGCTTGTCAGGCAGTCACAGTGAAACCTGTCACTGAGAGACAGCTCCCAGCTACCTCCCAGGGATGTCTTCGTACAGTCCCAACTGCCACTTCATTTGTTCGCTCGCATATTCACTCACTCATTCAGCAACCCCTCCTTAGGGCCTGCAGGGTGCTACCCCTATCCTAGACACTGCAGACCCAGGCCCATCGGCCCTACCCCTGCCCTTGAGCAGCCCCCAGTCTGGCAAACACAAAGGACACAGGCAAAAAGACCAGAATAAAATTCAGAGTCAGGTAGCAGCCAAGCAGGTCAGAGATGGAGAAAGCTTGACAGGGACTCAGCAAGAGAGAATTAACTTCTTGACTAACTCTAGTCCTCAATGAATGCACAAATCTGGGGGAGGGAAGAGCATGGCAGAGAGAGACCCGGATACGGGAAGACACATGATGTGTGTGCAGGGAAGTAGCCCAAGGGGAGACTGCAAAGGGGGCAGTTATCCCATTCTACCTCTGTCAGGGAGCCTGGCTAGTCCTCTCCTCCTGGCAAGGAGACCTGCAAGGCAAAGCCCATGTATGTCTCTTATGTTCCTGGAGTCCAGCTTGGGACCAGTCATTCAAGTTCAAGGTGGCCTTAAAGAGGAGCCAAGGTTAGGGTCAGCTTCACATGTGCCTAAGTTGAAGGGACCAGACACCCAGGTTCTGTGTTCCTCAGAGATAGTCTCAGCCTCCATTTCCTCAAGCTAAGATGAAATCAGATGATGGTTCAGAGCACCCAGCAGAGAAGGTGCTCAGTAACTTGGTCCTTCCTTCATGGTGTATTCCAGAGGGCACAGTTCAAGAGGAGCCCCTGGTCCCTTCATACTCAATTGGTCTTGCCCACCTGTGCCCCTAGGGCTGAGGGCCTTTAAAGCTTCTCTGGCCCACAAAGGGAGGCACTTTTGTTGAAGGACAGGGAGATCTCAAGTTCCAGAGCCAGGCAAACTTGAGTTTTAATCTCAGCTCTGCCAATTCCCAGCTGTGTGATTTGAGTTTTGGTTTCCTCATCTGTAAAATGGGGGTAATAATAACTGCCATACAAGATAAAGATGTAAGGATGGAGTGAGAACCTGGATCTGTGCTCCCAGAGGGTGCCTATCACACAGCCAGAACTCAGGAAATTTGGGACCTTACCCTCACCTTAGTATTCTCAAGTACCAGCCACTCCCCCAGGCCCTACTTTCTAAGCAAAAAGTATAGCCAGCTAAGGTCCAACCATGGGTTGGGGGTGTCACTGGCCACCACACCCTTCCTCACATTTTCTTCCCCTTTTCCCCTATTCATTCACCACTTCTGCTCAAACCGGCTACAGGCTAAGGTGGGGCAAGGCCTGCCCTGCTCAGCACAACTTCCCCTGGCCTCACAGCCTGGGCAGGTCAGCACACTAGAGCAGTGGGCATCTGCACCCTACTCTGCCAATCTGTGCCTGGTGCATTGACCCATGGGGAGGTATTTGACCTTCACTGCAGCCTCAGGAGATTGAGAGTGCTGAGTCCCATGCTAACCAGGGGGAAACTGAGGCTCAGAGAAGTTATTTGTCCTTGAATGGCAGACCTAAAATTGGACTTCCTCCCATCTCTAGATTCTCATACTTACATTGTCTGAAAGAGAGGCTGGGATGGGGAACTGCAGGTGGCAGATGAGGGCCATTCAGAGGCTGAGCATCCCTGATACCAGGACAGGGCCCACATGGCTGCTGGGGACCACTGGGACAAAGAGAGTGCTTGTTGACAAGGGTCTTCAGATGTTATCCCCTTACCAACCAGGCCTGCCCTCTAGGCATAATCAGACTGGCCAAGGAGAGAGATCTGGACATGGGTGGGCATGCATATGGTAGGAAGGGGATTCAGGGGCTGGGGTTTGGGGCTAATGTCAATGGGTAGAGATAAGGGAGCCATTCCCTGGGGGAGTGGGAGCAGTGCACCAGGGAGAGACAATGGCAAGGCCGGAAGCAGGAATGTGCAGGAGTGTAAGGAAAATAGAAAAGTTTGATCAAGTGTGGGGTGGAGGTGAGGGGGAGGGAAATGGGTGAGGCTGAAGGGGTTCATTAGTCAGACCCAAGTAAGGTTTTAGCTGTAACCTGGCAACTGCCATGTGCCTCCTGGGGCAAGGAATGGACCCTGAGGGGCCCATCACAATAGGTGGGGCCTAAAGAGGAGGACCTGGGGCCAACCCCCTAATAACACAATATTCAATTAAACCAAATAGAGAAAATAAAACCTCTGAGGCCCGAACAAAATCAGAGTGTGGGCTGGCCACAGCCATAGCACTTGGGGCCATCTTTGGGACTCCCGGAGCCAGGAGGGCTCTGAACACATGAGAGGCTGATCAGGATTGGAGGGCAAGACAGAGGCTCAGTGGGTGCCCACAGAGGACAGAGTCAGGCAGCCACACCAGAGGATGCCAGTCCTGATGATTCTCAGAACATGGGGTAAGGCTGGTGCCAGCATCCCCAGTCTGGCAGAGCAGTAGCCAGGAAGGGCTGGTGTAGCCTGGAAAGAAGTCTTGCTTGCCACTGGGCCAGGAAGGACTTCAACTCGCCCCTCTTTGCAACCCATGGCCAACCCCAGAGTCAGAACTTTTTCCAGTGGCCCTGGGAAGCACCATGTCTCACTGGGGGAAATGACCCTTTTGACAAGGTCACCCAGGGGGAGGGCAGAGGCCAAGGAGCAGGCCCAGCAGGAGGCAAAAAGGGCAGGGTACCAGCAGCTCTCTGCCCACCCGTGCTCTGTACAAATTTTCTCTCACCAGCAACTTGGAGTCCCAGAGCACAAGAGGGGAGGTGACTCAGGGAGGAACCTAAGGTCATAAAGCTAGAAGGCAGGGGTGGAATTTGAATCCAGGCATGACAGACTCCCCCAACATTTATGCTTTTTTCTCTACAGCAGGGGTGGCAAGTGCCCAGCAGGTCAAGTACCAGCACAAATACAACCACCCCAGGAAGAATGGCAAGGTTCTTGGACTGTGTACTGTACCCCAGATAGTGTTCTGAGTTCTCTCTATATATTTAACTCACTTAATCTCAGCATTCCTTTGAAGTCAGGATGATTGTTTGCCCCATTTTTAGTGGAAGAAACTGAGGCACAGAAAGTTAAGTGACTTGTCCAAGGTCATAGAGCACAGATCGATCTCCCAAATTTGAACCTGCCTTCCACTGCCTCCTCAAGTATACATGCATCAAACTGGCCCTGGGGCACCTGAGGAAAGTGTGAGCCTCTTCTAGGAAAAGCAGTGGCTGCTCAATGCCAGCCTACTTTACCATACTGGGAAGAAGAGGGAGCATCAGTCATAATGAGCAGACAGAAAGCTGGTGTTTCATGTAAAATCCTTCAATTTTTAAATGTGGGAAATCTCTTTAAACTTAAAAAAAGTGGCTCGATGCCTGTGGCTCAAGTGGCTAAGGCGCCAGCCACGTACACCCAAGGTGGCGGGTTCAAATCCAGCCTGGGCCCACCAAACAACAATGATGGCTGCAAACAAAAAATAGCCGGGCGTTGTGGCAGGCGTGTGTGGTCCCAGCTACTCAGGAGGCTGAGGCAGGAGACTCACTTGAGCCCAGGAGTTGGAGGTTGCTGTGAGCTGTGATGCCATGGCACTCTACCCAGGGCGACAGCTTGAAGCT